CCTGCTGCGTCACACCTCAGTGTGGTGACTCTGAGGCACACTCGACATGGTCTCTCCCAGGTCCCATGGGATGGAGCCCCAGTCCCCACAGTGGCAACCTACCCTTTATCAGCTTTCCCCTCCCCAGGCTCACTTCCTTCTTCCTTCCTCGCGCTTCTTGGGATCATCTCCACGTATACTACATGCTCTAGATCCTTGTCTTGAGGGCTGCTTTGCGGGAGCCCAACCTAAGGCAGAGGACAAGCCTCACATAAACAGCATCCAGGACCAGGCAGAGAGTGAGAGGCTGGAGGGAGGGAGGCGGTTCTGTGTGTGAGTAGGAGGGGGCGGAGCTGGGCCCCAAAGAAAAGAGAAAGAAGAGAGGGGAGAAAGCATGCGAGAAGGCCCCACCATAGGCTGTGTCAGCTGCCATCAGAGCACAGGGAGCTTACTGGTCTGGAGGGGACTTCCCTGGACTCTCCAAGCCTCCTCACGGGGCTCTATGGTCACCAAGAAAACAAAAAGATCCCTTTATTTATGGTGACACAGTTTTTCTTTACCTGGAAACCACCAAGACACAGAGGAAACATTTCAGTGACTTACTAAGTGTGTGGGTAGAAATCTCTACAGTACAAATGACGTTAGTCCTGCCCACTCATGCAGCAGGTCCCTACAGGTCCCAAATTGGCAGCCCCTGGTGAGCTCTTTCAAGACAACAGGCTTCAATACAAGCATTCTTCTCTCCAGAATCCTCTCTGGAAGTCCCACCATCCCTCATCTGTTGGTGAGGAAGCTTGACTATACTCCGGGCTAGGCCATGAGGCCCTAGCAATGGGAATGGGCCCTGGTTCAGGGCTCCGAGGAAGCGTTGGCCATTGCCATTCTCACCATCATCGTGATCAGCCCCCACGGGGCACCAGGGAGGAGTGCTGTGGTCCGCAAGCCTCTACCACACCCCCTCCAGTATTCCCTTCAAAGGGGCCAGGGTCCCTCGATGGGAGGGGAGACCCAGGCTGGCCCCAAGCAAGGGCAGAGCACAGAGTGATGAAGCTGCGGGAGTCTGGTTTAGATCCAGTGATGTTTCAGCAGCGGCCAAGAAGAAGTGAAGGGTAAGCTGTGTGGAGATTTGGGGAAAGAGCGTTCCAGGTGGAGGGAGCAGTACATGGCACCCACCCAAGCAGGAGCACGCTCCGGTGGCCAGTGCTGCTGAGGTCATTTCTCCCTCCACACCCCCACCTTGCTGGGCGTGTGGGCAGGAATGACTTGACTTGCATGATGACGAGAAGGACCCAAGCCTTGGGGATTGACCCTCTGCCCAAATTGAGTAAGAGGAGGAGGAAGACCAGAAAACAGAAGTTGTGTGGGCCAGGCCTCAGGGCCCCCATGCGGCAGACAAGGCCAGCCAGGGGCTCAGCTTTTTCGGCTCATGGGCTCAGTGTCACCTGTGCAGAGGGCCTGGCTTAACCTCTAGCCAGCCTCTGGGAGGGGCGTTATGGGTGACTTATTTTCTTTCTTTATACTTATCGGCACTTTCCAAGTATTTTTCGATGGACACGTATTTCCTTTATAGTAAGACAAAGGTTTAAAACTGGCAGCAGAGTGGCTAGCCTTTAGCTAAAGACCAGGTCTGGCAGATTCAGAAACGCCCACTGCTCCACCTCAGGAACCACTCCTATGGGACCCCACACTGGAACTGGGGGGTCGTGAATGAAAAAATTAACCGGGGACTTGGTAAACTGCCACTTTTACTTGCCTTACTAGGAAGCTGTGCATCCTGGAACCCAAGGCCTGCCTCAAGGGGGAGCTTAGAGGGCCGTCCTTGCTGGAGACAAAGGATCAAGGGCTTCCCAGTGACAGAGTCTGGACTTTGGAATCTAAAGTGCAGAAATACCCCCATTAGGGTGTCTTTCCTCTGGGGCCTGTGAGCCCCCAGAGCTATAGGGACACTAGAGGAGCTCGGTAACATGGGCCCATGGTTTAATTGAGGTTGAGGCTCGTGTAAAGCACAACTGCTCCTGAGATAAAGAAGGATTTAAGATTCTCTTCCAGGAACCCCTTGCTTCATCTCAGGACCCCCGTGCCCAGCACAGGCCAGGCACTGTGAGGGTTTCAGGGAAGGAGAGAAGGACAAAGGGAGTTTTGCACAGTGTGATCTGCAGTGCCTGGCATCCTGCCTCAGCTCCCATGCTTCCCCCCGGCCTTGTCTTGTGCCCCTCTCCCTGGCTCACTCCAGCCCAGCCACAGCAGCTCCCTCGGGTCTCCAGACACACTGCACAGCTTGCTCCTGCACGTGCAAGCCCTGCTGCCCAGCATGCCCTTCCCTCTGCTTCCTTCTCCCACAGACTCCCCCATCCCGCAGGTCTCATCCTGAACATCCCTCCTATAGGGAGACTTCCTTCACCCCGGCCTCATTAGCCCCCCTCTATGGGCACCATTGATGCCCAAGACTGGAAGCTCCATGGTATCCTCAGCATGCCACCCAGCATGTGGCACAGAGTTTGTGAGGAAATGCTGGTCAAAGGATGGGAGGGGCATGGCCAGGGTGGGCCCTAGCAGGGGCAAGACCCTGAAGACTGGGGGTACCCACCCCTCTCCCCCAAGTTGATGTCTAGACTTTTGCCTTCCTGGCCAGGAGGTCTGTGCCCTGCAATTGGCAGGGTGGAGAAGCCAGGAGCCTGTGAACTCACAGTGAACTGCAGGGATGTGAGAGGAGGGGCAGAGCCTGGGGAGGTTACTGCAGACTGCCCAGCTGAACCCACCTCGATGGTTCCCTGGCCTGCCAGTGTGGCAGGTGTTGACTAGCTGCGGACCCCTGGCCCAGGGCAGCAGGCAGCTCAGAGGAGATCTATGACCCTCCAAGGTCTGTAAGGAAGATTGGGCGGTTGGGGGGACCAGCAAGGATGAGATCTCTCTGCCCATCTGATTCAGCCTGGCCCTTCTTTCAGGTGGCCCTGCTGTGGCGTGTTCTTAGGAGTCTGATCGTACGCTAGCATTTCTGAGTTGAGCTTCCTATGGACCCCATATCTCTCCACTATGCACACCGCTTCCCAGCATCTGGGCATGAATGCCTGTCACCAGGAAAGCCTGACGGGCCCCACCCGTGCAGGTTTCTGCAGGTCCTCCACACAGAGACTTCCATCACCGGCTACACTAAAGCTTCTATCTCTGCTCGTGTACTGCATCCAACTTCTGTCCATTTGCCAGGACCAGTTTCACCCTGTTGGGAGCTGGGGGGAAAGATTTGAGCAAAATCTTCTTCACCTTTCCCCAAACTGACCTTTATCCAGGACCAGGAAGAAGAAAAACCCAGCAGGCTGACACATGGTCCTGTGGGCAGGAGGGGTTTTAGTGATGGGAAAAGGCCACTATTTTCAAACCTGTGCAGCTGTACATACTGGAAAATCGGGTTTGCCAACTGGTGGCCCTAAGAGCTCCTGGGAATGGAGATCCTCCCAGGCCAACAGGGATGCTAGCAAGGTTAGGGGAGTGGGAGGGCCACTCTCATCAGAGCACGGAGACTCCCAGAGAGCAAATAGATTTGATTATACTGAGCGCAGCAATTGATTTTTTTTCTAAATAAACGTGCAGGAGGAAATGGTAATGGGCATCTGTTTCTGACAAGAATCAATTGACCCCAAATTGGAAGAAAATCTAGAAACACAAGCAACACAAGAGAAAATGATTAGGCCATTCAGGCTTGTCTAGTGAGGGAGGGTGGGCAAGAGGGAGAGAGACAGACAGACAGACTTCCCCATCAGCCCTTTCCCCACCAAGTAGCTTCCCTGTTTGTTGCTCTTCAGCAAATGTGGTTCCAATAATGCAAAGGGGAGAGTAGCTACCATTTTATGAGCCCTTACTCAGTGCTAAGCCAGTGCTAAGCCCTGAATGTGCATATCTTATTTAATCCTCCTAACAGCTGTGTGGGAGGCACAGTTCTCCCCTCTTCACAGATGAAATCACTGAGGCTCCTTGTCCCAGGTACACATTCAGGCAGCAGCAGAGCCATTGGAGCCAGTGCTCTCCAGCACTGCTTTATGTTGACTCTCCAACCCTGAGCTATTACCTGGTGCCCTAAACTAGCCTTGGAATTACGAGGAGGAGTCCCAGGCCCCAGACAGTCCATCCCAAGCAGCGCATTGGCCCTCCACCTGGAATGGATGGTGAGGAGTCCATGCCCAGGCTCCGGGACTCAGCAGAGCCAGGTGCTGGAAGTACTCCATCCCAGGGAGGTGGGGAAGTGGGGCTGGAGGGGCTGTCCTGCTCTGCTAATAGCCCCACAGCCTCAGTTTATAGGCTGAGCCCTGTCTGTGGTTCATCCCAGTGGCCCGTCACCAGCAAGATAAACCATGTCATGTCGCAGTGCATCACAGGCCTCATTTGCCAGAACACTGTGTGGTTCTGATGCTGTTCAGCAAGCACGCCTGTGATAAAAGGCCTAAGAGGAATGGGCTGTGTGCTTGGGTTTTAATTTCGTAAAGCTTCCTTTTGTTTCTTGGTCACAGACTTGCATACACATGTTCGGCTTGAAGTAATCCAGCTTGAGGAGTGTACCTAATTATCTTAAGCAGGGCTTATTAGTCCTGTTAACTAAAACTCCCTAATCTATGAAGCCAAGTATTCAAAAGCAGCCTTTAAGGTAGGATTAAGGCAAAAATGAGCTCTTACAAAGTGGAATTGGGGCGGCTTTCCTAAAGCCGCTGTGGGGCCGCGGCTGTGAATTCCCTTAGCTGAACTTTCCCGTTTCATCTGGCAGTGGCTCGGTGTCTGGCAGGTAGTAGGTGCTTGGTAAGTACCTGTGGGACAGGCTCCCTCCAGCATCTGCATCATGTGCAGCATGTATCCAGTGCTCAATAAATATCGATGGGATGGGTTGGTGGGCAGACAGACCAACGGGTCCCATCCCCTCCAGTTGCCGCCTGCACTGCACAGAGTAAATGCCCAGTAAGCCTTTATGAGCAGGATGGGTGGTTTTCTCAACCAAGGGGGGAGTCTTGCTGCCATGACCTCATCTTCTCTTCCAGCTGACCCGTGCACCATGGCCGACTACGCCCGCCTGAAAAATGTCCTTCTGGCACTCCAGACCCGCCTGCAGCCACTCCAGGACGGGGACAGCAGACAAGACCCTGCCTCCCAGAAGCGCCTCCTGGTGGAATCTCTGTTTAAAGACTTGGATGCAGATGGTGACGGCCGCCTCAGCAACTCTGAACTGGCTCAGGTGGGTACGGCATTCGGTGAAACTGAATTACGGAGGCATCCAGTTTCCCATTCAGCACGTAAATGAAGAGAACCGGGGAGATGCACACCAGGAGAGTCGTTTGTAACTGTCTTTCTAATGGGACGCCAAGGAGGCCTCTCTCCTGCAAGAGAAACTCTTCTCCTGGGAGTTGGAGAGCTTGTGCTCAACGCCTCTGAGAATCTCTTACAAAGAAAACAGTGTCAGTGTCTTCTCCCCACAAGCCGCCATCAGCTGATATTTACAAACAAGCTCTGAAGCACTCTCAGCTCTGGGGCAAAACACACACTTCAGAGGGGCTGCTCACTGATGTTTTCATTAGGAAACACAGCTTCTCTTCCTTGAGTCCTTTACTTTCCTCAGCAGGAAGGTGAAAAGGAAACAGATTTGGTTTCCACCACATACATTTGGAGCTGTGACCTGGGCGTCCCCAAGTCCTCTCCCCCAGGATCTCTCCATTCTTTCCTATCCAGGTATCAATGACCCAAACCCCAGCCTGCTTGCTGGCAGGAAGCCCCGCATCCAGCCCCAAGCACTGCTGTTTGGCTGGGAAATCACTTGGAGTGGGCCTTGTGGTTTGCTTCCCTCTCCTGACACAGCACCCCCCCCGAGTCCCTTTGTCCAGCTACAAGGTGATGTGATGGAAGTTAGTGTCTGCAGCAGAAAAAGCGAAGAAAGAGCAACCCGGGGCCCCAGCCGCTGCCAGCTGCAGGGAGGGCCTGTAGGCTCCCGTGGCAGAAAGGCAGGCTGGGTGGGCCAGAAGGGCCTGCTGCGCTCCTGCTCCTGCTCTGCCGGTTTGTCTATCTGGGCCTGGGGCCCTGGAGCCACACCAGGCAGGTACAGAGATATGCAAGGAGGGCAAAGTCAGCCTCCCCAAGCAGGTTGGTGGGGCCAGCAAGTGCCAACAAAACCCAAGTATGGAGCAGTCACTGGTGGCTTTGTCACTCAGGGTCCCTCCCTCACGGCCCCATACTGCAGCCAGTCCAGAGCCCGCTTCCAGGGAGTACTGGGAACCACAGATCCCAAGGCACTTGCAGACCCTACTCTGCTCGCCCACAACTGGGAAACACATGCAAGTCCATCCAGGGCCTGCATCCCAGGAGGCCTGCTGCCCACAGCCTCTCAGGGACACACCGTCTCAGCCATGCCAGCCAGCATATTACCACCCCCATCAGCGCTTGGCCCCCAGCGATGGCTAAGACCCCCAGGGGCAGGGCAGGGACCCACAGATGACCTGAGCTGCTCTGGGAAAAGCCCAGGTCCTGTTAGTGACAGTTACCTGCAGGAAGAACCATCTGGCAATTCTCCGCACTACAGGCTGTGCAGGGAGCCCCCAAGGCAGGCGGCTTTGGCTTGCCCTGGACAGAAGCAGCTGTGGGCTCTTGACACCCCAGGTCCACGTGGGTCCCAGGTGATTGCCAAGTAAATAGAACCTTCCTAGGCGTGTTGCTCTAACCTGGCAGAGGCATGCCCCAAGGCACCTGAAGCCATTAACAAGTATGGTAATTGGACTATGATTTCCTCTTTAAAATTTAATGTATTTAAAGTCCAGTTCATAAATCTGCCAAGCAGAGGCCAGCTAACATGGGCCTTTCCTTGACGCTGAATCAAATGCATTGGGGAAAAACTTGTTGGTCCTAGGAAAAGTTAATCAATTTCCAATGCAGAAACAGACAAAGGGAAATTTTCATCTTTGGGAGATTGATTTCGGGCGTTATGGTTGATCTCCCTTTTATCGAACACTCTCACTTGCTGAGTGAAGAGTCATTTTTTTAACATCATCACATTAAATTGCCTTTAGTATAGCAGACCAAGCTGAGACTGTTAAATAAAGAGAAAATGCCTCTGTCCCCCTTAAAATAAAATGAAAGCATCTCCTCTCTTCTGAGATTTTATTCTGAGCATTTTCCTTGCAAGACTCTAGTTCCTGACACACCACAAGCCTCTGGCTCCAGCTGAATAAGGGCACCTGGAATTTCTACCCTTAGTCACCTTGTGGCATGTGGCTGGTCGTGCTGGGGAGGCCTCTGTGCCCTGTGGCCCAACCCATATCCAGAAAGGAGTTCACAAGGGCCCACCCATGGCCCCCCTGTCAGAATCCCAAGAGCAAACATTTGTGTCCCTTGCAGGACAGGACAGGACAAGGCAGGCAGAGACGGGGCCCAGGCCTAGATCAGCAGAACAGCAGCTGCCCCTTTCTGGGGGGTGTGCTGCAGCTAGGAGGCGCTGCTCTGAGATTGCTAAGGGCTGGTGGAGGGGGAGGAGGGACACATTGATGGAGCAATGACCTTCCAGCTCTCCACAGCTGTAAGCCAGGAGACCTCGGCTCCCACGCTGAGTTCAGCCACTATTTGCTGGGTTTATCTGATCGGGCCCCTTCTCTTCTCTGTTTCCGTGTCTGTAGCACAGAGGGGTAGACCGGTAGCCTCATGGACACTTCCCATCTCAGACTGTCTGGGGTCTGTCTGCACAGACTGAACACTAACAAACTCTGCCCCAATCACTGTGTGACCCTGGGAAAGTCCCTTCCCCTCTCTGAGCCTCAGTTTTCTCATCTATAAAACGAGAGGATCAGACAAGACAAAACTAAAGAGCTTCAGGTGCTGGAGTCCTCACCCCTCCCTCAGGCAGTGACCAGAGCCTGAGCCATTTCCCAGCAATACCCACAGCTCTGAACTCACTCGGACTCTGGCCCTGTTGCCTTCCTGCAGCACGTGCTGAAGGAGGAGGACTTCCTCGGGTGCTCGCCGGGCGACCTCCTCCGATTTGATGACTACAACAATGATGGCTACCTGACCCTGCATGAGTTCTACACAGCCTTCCGTAAGTCAGGCCCCAGTCCGGGGCCCCAGTGGGCAAACGGGCTTGTTTCTGCAGGCATTCCTGCACCAAAATGGTGTCAAGGTCTGGAATCGGTCCTCGGCTGTCTCCAAGGTTGATTTCTTTTATAGGTGAAAGTAGCTGAATTTGTTTTGCAACAAGCCTGAGTTTAAGGGTAAAGGAGAGTGGGTGGGAGAGAGGGACGCTGGCTCTGTTCCTTTTGGATAAACGCTCTTCTCACTGTTGTTGGAGGAGCCCAGGACTGCAATCTAAGCGTGGCTGGGAGGGCACTGCGGGACACCCCTGGGGGATTCTATGACTGCATATGGAGGGAACAGATTTAGGGTTATCCCCAGGCTATGGCCTGGCCCCACTGGGGAGTCTTGCCTGGGGGCAAATCCTGCAGGAGGGTTCTGGAGGCTTGGCCAGCAGGAGAGGGAGCAGTCACTACCAGCGACAATGGAGAGTGAGGGTCCAGATTGAAGAGAGGTGGGGATTCCCTGGAGAAAAACAGAAGGGAGATGCTCTATGTGAAAACGGAGGAGGCGCTCAGAGCAGACCCTCTGGGGGTCCTGGTGCATCCCGAGAGTGGGTAGAATACCCAAGGACCTGTGTCTTTCCATGGTGGGTTCCTCCAAGAGATTAGCTCATGTCAACTATAGGGGCAGCTGGGACGGGGCTTCCAAGAGACGCGAGATCTGAGAACGAGCCCCAGATGGCTCTGGACAGAGGTCAGCAGTGACGAGAGGGGAAAGCAGTGCTGGGCCCAAACTTGAGACAAGAGGGGCCATTATTGGCCCCAAAAGATGAAGCCCCTTTATGTCAGACAGCGTTCAGGCTCTGCTTAAAGCAGGTAACGTGTGCGCCCTGTGTGATGCGCCCTGTGTGATGTGTCCTTGGATGTGACCTGCACAGCTCCTAATTGCAGGCCCTGGAATTTGGGAAGTAGGTGTGAGACCCCCAGGCTGCACTGAGTACCCTGAGACACAGACCCTGGCATCCTCACCCCCAACCCCAACCTCCTCCTGGAGTTCCATTTTTCAGCAAGGTACTCCTGCTTCCTGTTGACATCTCTTTGTGCTGCTGTTATTCCAAACATTCACAAGGCCTGAGTAGTCCTCGTGATTCATTGGCAAGAATGGCTCTTTTGGCGGGTAGAAGAGGTGCTTGTGACATAAGAGGACAGAAACGAGTGTGATTCCTCCCTGTGGGAAATGTCCATGAGCTTGATGCAGGCAGTGCCTTTCTAGTTCACGGCATCCTTGTTGCCAAGGACCAAGTCCAACCCCCAGTTACAGGGCCCTGCTTCATATCCTGTGACTCGGTACGGTCCCCCATCCTCCTCCTCCCCGCCCACTCTTAAAACTCATGTCTACGTGCAGTAGTTCATCATAAGGTGTGAATGTCTGGTGAGCTTAACCTGCTGTGGAAGGTGTTTGCTTTGCAGATCAAGGAGCTTATTCCCTGAAATAAATCTCTAAGAATGTGTGGTAGTATCAGCGACTCCATAGACCCAGCTCGTGAGAGCTGATGGTTAGATCTTCAGGGCTTTTGCAAGGCAAATAGTTATATAGTTGGTGGCTTTAAATCAGCCATGCTGGGAGTGTTTACACAGCAGAAATTTATACTATACAAATGCTACAAAAGCGGGGGAGTGGTACTTTTTTCCTCTGGAGAGCCAGTTGTTAAGCACTGACCTGCACACCCTGGACAAGACCCTCCCTCCTGTCCTTAGCATCTGCCTCCTGCAATATCCTCTCCATCCACCTTCCCCAAACCGAGACCCCCAATGATTCTGATCCCATAGACATGAGCAAGAAGAGATGTCAGGGCAGATGGCGGGGTGAGCAGCCCTACTCATCAGGAAAGCAGCAGCATGAGTTCTGGGGACACTTCTGAGACATGCCCAGCAGTGCTTTCTGGTCCAAGGCCCTTCTGCAAAAGTCACTAGGAAGGAAAATGTTGGTGCATTTAAGAGCCAGGGACCAAGACTGGACTTCAAGAATTTGGGGGGATATACCAGGCACCACCACTCAGATGTCCCACAATGGCATCGTTTAGCAGAGAATGGCACTGCACAGGCACCATCCTGGTACCCAGTACCGCAGAAGCCTCTGCTTCATGAGCTCTGTTCTTGGGAATCGGTCTGGGGCCAAACAGGAAGCTATTGGCTTTACTCTCGAGGAGATGGAAGCAACCCTGTGGCCGCTGATGAAAGAGAAGGCCCCTGGGCCTCTCCAATGAACGTCATTATAAGCCAGAGCTGCCCGTGGGAAAGGAGGGAAGTCATCACTTCACCTCCAGCCGTGTATCTATGCAGAGCAACGTGGTGTGTGTTCCCTTCATTCCTGGATTATTATTTGAAAAGCTTTATAATCATCATTTTTAAAGCAAATTAGATTCTGCTGTTGCCTTGGACTTGTTTTGAACCAGGCAAACCATTTATCACAGCCCAACCCAAATAATAAATATGCAATAAAATGTAAACTTGCAGCCATTAAGGAAGCCACAGAATGAGTTAACCGGCTATGAAGACTTGACATGCAACCCCTCAGAGCACATAGGGATCAATGGTTTTTCAAAGTCATGGGAACTCTAAATCCCCATAGCTCTGGGAATGGATTTATGGTTCAGTGAATGTTAAATAGGTAATTGAAATGAGACATAGAGGTACAACTTATCACCCAGAAATCAATGGGCATTAAAGAAATCTCACTAAAACTCAGAACGTAATATCTCAAACATTTCAGCAACGACATTTTGGATTTAATTTTAAAAACTGGAGCTGATGGGCTGGCAGAGGTTGAGACTTTAAAATTGTATTTTTTAGTCTCTATTTTGCCAGGTCCTTGGGTACTAGGCAGGGGAGGGTCTGTGGGGTGACTCCTGGCACGGGCTCAGTCACTCTATTAAATGATGGGTTTGGAGGCCTTTTCCCTGGAGAAGTGGATTGTATTTACAAGTTTATGGTGTTGGGGCGTCTCCTAAATCATATCTTCTCGTGCAGCTGGCCTAGCCCAGGCTGGTCCGCTATTTGCCATTGTCTACAGGTGGCTGACGTCAATGCCGGGAATCCTGTGGCTGGTGGCTGCCATGCTCAGCTGAGCTGGTTCACAGGGGGACTGCACCCTCCTCCTGGCTCTGCAGAACAGGTGGCCCATCCCCAGGGAGGAGGGCAGAGGCCAGGTCCCTTAGCCCTGGGAGTCAGTTCAGTCCCTTTCTCTCAGATGGAGCTAAGGCTCCTAGTCGCCCATCTCTGTGCAGTGACAGGAGTGAAATATAAGGGTGGCCTTCCTCTCTTCCTCCATTTATCACCTAAATGTTCTCTTCAAGTTGCTTTTGGCTTTCCAAACCACGGGCTGAACTTGGAACTCAAGACACAGTGTCATCTCAGCATGTGCCCCTCACCCTTCCCCCCCCACTCTCCGACAAGCTGCAGGACCACTGGTCCCTGCTATGAGGCAATGATTCAGGCCCCAGGGTCACCGGTGAGCAAGATGCGTGCTGGCCCTATCTGTTCATCACAGTAAATTCGTCTAAAAGTTGCTCAATTAAAAAGCTTTTCAATAATGCATGTTTTTGCACTTTTCTGAATGCTTGGGTTGGGATCGTGGGAAAAACATGTTGCTTAAACGAGGATTTTTCTCTCACTTTAAATTCATTACAAGTTTCTTCTGCTTTTTAGAAAGATACTTGTCCTTTTAATTAATCCTATGAGAACAGTGTGTTGGACGCAAAGGAAGGGTTTGAGCAGCTAGCAGTGCAGGATAAAGGGCTTCCCGTGTTAACGTTCTGGGATCACGATGCATAGTGTCCAGGAGGAGAACTCATGTCAGGAGGACCACAGGGAGCTGGCTGTGTGAGAGTCAGACACCCTCCCTCAGCTCCAGGCAAGCAGAAAGGAAAACAGTGATTTACTCTGATTATTGCAATACCTCTGTATCCAGGGCAACTCTGTGAAACAGATGAAATGGTCACCCAGTGAATTTACAGCTGTTTTTCTGCCATTGTTGCTGCAAAATGAAAGGATGGTGCAGCTTCGCCTCGCACATCATTATCCTCTGGAATGGATAATGACCAGCACAGGCCAGACACATCATCTTAGTCAGTTCTCACAGCCCCGCTGTGATAAGCAGGATGGTAAAACAAAACAACGGCAAGTATCCCTCCCCCAGATCTATCTGGCTCCTTATCCGTGCAGGGTGAGTTCAGACAGGGAGTTTCAATGGCAAGGATATCACTTTATCCCACTCCATTTGGTTCCTGAGTTTGGGATCATGAGTAACAAAATTTCAGATAGCATGGGCTTTATCAAAAATTTTCTCTTAATCTGTTCGGCTCTTGAGTCTGGAGAGCAAGCGGTAACTGGCACTGGTCTCGGTGTTGGCTGAGGCTAAGACCATTGGTGTGAAGACTCCCCAACCCCAAAGGGAGAACCTGGTTGCCTCCCGCAGGACTTGCAAATCCAGCCACCAAAAAACTGATTCACTGCCCTTGGTCCCTCGTTTGCTCGAGGGCATAAAACAGTTAAATTGGAGCAGCCACAGGGGGAATCGAGAAGTAGAAGACAGAGGTGCTGTGAGTCTCACCACCTCCTCCCAAGTACAGAGGTGGGGGTGCTTGCTCCTCACCTCAAGGGCAGAGAGATGGGCTCCAAGGAAGCTTCCATATGAGCTTGCTGTGTGCTTCTGAAGCCAACGTCAGTGTGCCATCTGAATGATTTTGCTTGTCAATATCACTTTAGTTAGTAATGGGCTCTTAATACTCTGGTCATATAAAACAACACCTAACATTTGTCGTATGTCAGCACTGTGTATTATGTCCCAACTTTACAGATGAAGAAACTGAAACTCGGAGAGTTTAAGTTGCTAACCCAAAGTCACACAGCCAGCAGGTAACAGAACCAGGATTGGACCCAAATGCCTGATTCCAGAACCTTCTCATGCATTTAAACACGCTTTGCTAATCATCAGCATTCTCCAGTGAGGAGAATCTCACTGTCC